TCTATATTACCTATTTAAGGAGTCCACCCGAAGGTTCCCCACCAATTGCTATACCTAACACCCCTGCTTGGGTGTTCCACTTTAAACACTCTGAACCTGTAACCTGTGTTAACATCACTGGTTATCACTGATGTACCAGAACATCGTCTGCAACCTTAGGACTAATTTATCCTTGAGGTAAACCCCCTAGAGCCTTCTGTACCTATTTTTACAGCTAACCTAGGTATCACTATGGCAGAACCAACACTTGCGGTTAGGGCTAACCATTAAACTCCTATGCTCTTGTAGAGTTCACTTAAACCCCAGCATCTACTTTACAGCATAACCCCAGTACTTTAGTATATCTCTGCCTTTTCCCCCACCCTTTTACCAGACTTCCAATCCAGATAGCTTATATAGGATTACGACCAGTTCATCGGTATATTGGGTCAGCCCAATATCTTTTTCCTCCGGTTCGTTCTGGCAGCCTGGTTGGTGGTACTTCTGAGACTCCCAACCTGGAGGTTCTTGCCCGTCTAGCTACTAGGATCGGGTACTAGACCTAGGTATCCATTTCACCAGGCTAGCCTTTACAGTAGAGCTGTTGAAGATCCAGCTACCTCTCTACTCGGGTCTTTCCAAATGGACTTCTTGTTACCCAATTTCAATGGATTTACACAGCCACAAGGACTTATCTAGTGTTTGCACTACCTAATTTGTCAGTTTGCATTTCTTCATGTAACTCCAACATTGCACAGATGCCCCATGACCTGCCAGTCATACTGGTGTGACTGCCATTACAGATATCCTAACTCAATCGTTAGTAACAGTTGCCATAATATGAATATTATATAGGTGATTATCCAAATTTTTGCCATTGATGGGATTTGAACACCCAATCTACCACTTAGGGGGTTGACAACCTGACCATTTTACTAGGTCACCACACCTATTATTTTCTTTTATATATATTTTTTTTGCCAAAAGTATATAGTAATTTTAGTCTAAAAATAACTAAATCTTGTTTAAAATATTTAAAATTTATAACAAGCACCTTCTGAGAAAGGTAAAAAAAAATATAAAAAATTTAAGAAAAGGATACTCTTATGATTTGATTTAAAACAATTTAAAAATTTTTTTGCATATACTATATTACTAACCTATATGTTTACTAAATACTAATACTGTTGTGCAGCTATCTTATAATGTAATTGTTTATATAGAATTTTAATATTACTTTGATTAAACTGATTTACAATAAAATATATTACTTCATAATATGCTTGAAACAAATTGTGTTTAAGTTTTAAAAACCAAGTTGTCCAAATTTTACAATCAGATCAAGATATATAAAACTAATTTATTATTGTTTGAAGCATAGTGAAGAATATTAAATGATCAGCAAAATGATACAAAAGTTTACATTTTGATGTAATTATTAGTTTAAATAATATTGCATTAAAAAAGTAATATAAAAATTTTCTGCCTGTTCTATTGCACATCACGTAACTACTTTATTTGCAAAATGATAAACAAAAAACTACAGATCAATTTTATTTGTAAAAGGTGATATGCAAGATTTGTTTGTTCAATAACATAACATGAAAATTGTCTAATCAAATAGTAATATATTTATAGTATAGTTTAGTCAGGAATTTTACCAAAAATACAGTTAGCTAAAGTAGAGTTAATTCAATATATGGAGTTGAGTCAGTAGAAATTAAGCAATTTTTTTTTAAATAAATTTTTTTAAAACTTTGAATAACAATAACTTAATAACAAATTAATTAAATTTAATAAAAAATTTTTAAAATGAATTTTTACAAACTTATAGAAATTATTTAAAAAAAATTTGATTAAATTTGATCAAGTTTTTGTTAAAATATTAGTATTTAAAATTTTTAAAACAACTCAATAAAAATAATTTGCTTGATTTCTACTGGCTTGCTTTCAAATAATTATCATACTATATAAATTACATTCTTGATATTCTATATAACCTATTAACCCTAATTATATCAAAAAGATAACTCTAAAACTCACTTACTTTAGCTGATCTCCCAAAATGGTATAGTATAGAAATGTCAATCACATGATTATTTAAAGTATCAAAAGATCTCACAATAATAAAATTCTAAAATGTGATTTTCTAATTTAGTAAAATCTCTAACTGTAATAAAATTTTATACTTGCTCTAAACATACAATACTATGCATTTATCTAGTAATAATATGAAATCAAGTTAATCTGGATTTATATTAATCTGTTTCAACTTATTAGTGATATAGGATCACACCCAACCTCAAAATCTGATTGGCTATATTGACTAAAAAATAAAAAAAACTTAAAATTTTTGTTTAGTCAACTAGGTGTGATCAGATAATCATTACTAAATTTTTACTAAAATGAAACAATTTATAATGCCCAAAATGGACTGAGTTAGGTTGAGCATAGCTGCTGCTATTATTTGAAAATTTAAAAAAGGCAACTATGTAACATTTGTTAAGAACTTTATATATGAAAATAACCAGGTAGTTTTTATATAATAAACTAATAGTTCTTATAATAAATTTTTGTTAAAAGTTTTTATAGAAGTAGTTTAATATTTTCTAATAATGAACTATATTTTATTTTTTAAAAAAGTTTATTATACTGTTATAAAATATAAAATGTGTTCATTATAAAAAGTTCTATTGCAAGAATAACTTTATTATCACATCAAGTATTATATGACTATGCTTTTGATTAGTAGTAATACTGATCTTTTAACATTATGTTTGCATTTGACATTTTATATAGTCATATTAACTATTTAATAATATTATTATTAAGCATATATACAACAAATAACAGGTGATTTTTTTTTTATTAGAATTAATTTCACTTATGTGCTATGTAGCAGCATATGAAATAACTTAACTCTGACAAAAAAAAAATGCTTGTTATTTTTTGTTACCTACTCAATAATGTATAGTTATTGAATATGTAGCATTCAATAACTGTAGTTATTTGGCATGATGTAACAATTGCATCATAATCTGTATGATCATGATTCTATAGTTACACATGACAAATAATGGAAAGTATTTTAAGTGGAATTTAATCGGGAAATGTCTGGGTCCCACAAGGGTCCAAACATCTACTGATCAAATTCTACTCAAAATATATTAGTTATTGGTGTAGAGAATTCAATAACAGTATTATCCGGCATCCTATAGTGATCAGAAATTAAATTTAATATACGATCAATAAATTAGACTTTAAATTAAATTACGTACTATTTTTTAGCAACAATAAAGTAATCAATACCTTTATAAAAAAGAAATTATTGTTCTTTCTTTAAATTAGTGTAATAAAAAAAATACCCAAAATGACTAATAAAACAAATATTTATCATAAGCCTACAAGTGAAGAAATAAATGAAATAATCAATAGTACAATTCCTGCCAACATCTGTAAAGCAACTGCTAAATAGGTTGGCATTTTGGTAGCTGGGTGTTCAGAAGTTGGATACAATTATGGTGTTAAAACAATCTCAAATAAGGACCAACTAGAATGTGAAATAATTGAATTTGCTCTTGGAATATGTAAAATCTGTGATCAGAAAGAATACTCACCTTTTTTACTAATTAATTGCATGAAATTATTGAGTGTTTACATTTTAAAACATCCTAATGCAGTTATAAAATTTAATATAGGAAACCGAAAAGAATTTGCTAAGTTGTGGAATGCATTAGATGGCAAAATAAAACAATTAAAAAAAAAAGGCATTGTATCACAACATTATGATCATTTGATGAATGAAGAATTAAAGAAAATTTTTCAGCATGATGCAGTCTCCAACACCACATTACAAGGGTTGCTTTTTAGAATTTTTATATGATGTTGTCTTTTATTCCAGCCCTGAGGTGGTGAACATTTTAAAATATCTATTACATAATTTATATTTACATCTAATAACAGTATCCAGTTTATGAAAAACTTCCAAAAGAATGATCAAGGTGGAATTGATGGAAATTCAAATGCTCTTGTGATTTCTGTGCCTCCTGATCCTAAAGGCTGCCAAGAACTGATTTATGATTTTAAATTATATTTTCCTAAAAGACTATCTTCTTTAAAGTATACTTCTTTATACTTACAAATTAATAAAAAAGCAAAAGGTATAATTATATTTATTGTTTTTTTTTTGTTTTTTTTATTATTTTAATATATATTTTTATATTTAGACCAAAGTGACAATGGTATTATGATATACAATTAGATAAAAAAGTATGTCAAACACTAATGAGAACTATTTGTATCACTGTTAATATTAATGTAAAGGGTCGTGATATTGTTAACCACTCTGGTAGATTTATATCTATCATATTTTTATTTCAAAAAGGTGTTCTGATGGTTACAACTATAGCATTAACTGGGCATAAAAGTGAATCATCATACTGTATATATGCCCATCTATCTGATAAACAAAAAGAGGATGCACTTTCACTGTTAATTAATAATGTTAAAAAGTTACCTTCAAGTAATTTGGAAATTCCAAATAATCTTGAAACCTTAAATGATTCAGAGGCCTCAAATAATTCTGAAACCTCAAATAATTCAGAAGTTTCAAGTGAGTTAAGGTCTTTAATTACATTAAAAGTAATCATTTATTTTATTTATTATCAATTATTGTTATTTTAATTTTATTTATTTATTTATTTGCTTTTTTTCATTTTTTTTTTTAGAAGTCTAGTGCAGAACAAAGTTCAAGTTGTCCTTCTGCTTATCTTACATTTTCAAATATCTTATTATCCAAGTTATCTGTTTTTAAACCATTTCACTCCCCTTTACAAAATTCATTAAAAGTAAATTTACTATTACATTCGAATGCATCTAAAAAAAATCCTACACTTGGTGGTCAACAAGTTCTTCATAGAGTTTCTGAGATAGATAATTCTGAAGCACAAGAAATGACTAAAAAAACTATGATAATCAGAAATTACTACATAACTGTTAAACATGTTATGATTAACTAGAAATATATATACATGTTAATGCAAATTTAAAATGCTTTTATTAAATTAAATAAATATTTAAAAAAGCTTTGAATGCAAATAAATTAAGCATATTTCATACAATTTTAAAAAAATTTAATTTAAAATAATTTTTTTAACAAAAATAAACAGTAAAATATGTAATTATGTTAGATTTAATAAAAATAGTTGTCAAATAATCTGAGTTATTTGGTGAGTCCGATCATAGTAGGATGCTGGATAATGTATACTTATACTCATCAATTATACTCACATGTTTGCTAATTTAGCATATTATATTCTGCTACTTTATGAAACTATTACTATTTGTATTACTTTATTCTTAGTGCATAACATTTAACATCCAATTAAATTGATGCAAAAAGCCCAAATCTGGGCCCAAATAATAATATAACAGAGTAAAACTCATGATAAAAACCCATGTTATTAATGCAAATTATTATTTAAAATAGTAATTAATCTATTTTTAACCTTAACTAAGTAAGATCTGCAAAACAATATACTATCATAACAGCTTTCATATAATAATAGGCTTAAAAATTTAGGTTCAAACTAGGCCTAAGCCTGGCCCAGCCTATTCCAGACCCTATATATTATATAAGTATGTCCAAATTGCAATGTCAAAAAAAATCTAATTAATCAAATAACATGTCTGAAAAGTGGTATGCTTACTTTAATGAAACTGACTCTAAAAAATATCATTTTTTGGGTTTTTATAAATATCATATAAAGCAAGCAAACTTTACTTTCTTTTTTTAGAAGAAATCCTACAAACTACAAATGGATTTTGATAACCTTATAAAGGATGGTTCAGAAGAATTAAGAAAACTGCCAGTCAATTAAAAACCATTTTTATGAAAAGTACTTTATTTGATTTTTTATAATTATTTTATACATAAGTAATTAGCAAAAGGAGTCTTATAGCAACAATGACAATGGAATGCTGTTATCTTATAGTCATAATATCTGCTATAAGAAAATGGAACTCTTTACAACTATGGTAAACAATAGAATGCTGTCTACCTTATAGTCAGAATTTCCATTGTACTTGCTTTTTATAGTGTAGTAATTTCATAATTCTGTATAGATTAAGGAAAGCTATACTTTAACTAATTATATTAATTCTTTATTTTTTAAAAGCTATCATAATAATTTTGTAATGTCAATGCTTTTTGAAATAAAATTAAACTAAATAGATGGTTACAGGAACAGTTATAGACCACAGCAGTTGTAGTTTTTTTTGCTTACTTAATGATATTAATCTCTATTAATGTATTTCTTTTTATTTTATATAGGTTAAAACTACTAATTCATTTATAAGTATCTTCAAAAAAACCTTTGCAACAACAATGAAAAATGTTCACTTTGCTATTGAGAATGTTAATAATACATTGGTATAAAATATTGTTAATAATTAAATATTTATTTAATTTACTAATATATTATTCACAGTTAATAACAAAAGCAGAAGATACAAAAAAATAATCAACTGAAGAACACTTTCTTGTTATTATATCTTCTAATCTTTATGATTATATTTCTTTAAATAGTTACAATGAAAAATCAGTTGAAGTTGCAGATACATCAACTGAGGCTTTTTCAGTAATGTTTTTTTTTATTTTGTTTGCCATATAATATGCATAAGCTTGTTTCTAATTTGTAATATTACTTTTTTAAGAAGACAAGTAATCAAATATAAGTTCAATTTAAAGATAACAAAAAGTCAAAATAATGATGACAAAGAAGAGAATATTGATTCTTCTTTAGATGCTCAGGTATGTAGCTAGAGATTTTGATTTTTTGCAATTTCTAATTAAGAATGCTGTTAATACCTATACTTTTTTTTTGATAAAAACAGTCTTCTAAAAGATACAAAACAGTAAGTACTTTTTTCAATTTGGTAATATTTTCTTTCTTGGATTCAACTAACTTAAGAATAAACCTATTATATTGTATAGATTAATATTGTAAAAACAAAATTTTTTGAGTTAAGAAGTTGCAACATATATCTATTATATAAGCCATTTATAGAACTATCTCAGGAGGATGCAGACAGGTTATTTTATATAATATCTGATAATACAATAGTTGAATTTAATCTAGCTAAAGATATAAAAGAATATGTTAAAGAACTTCTTACAGATAATGTTAAGAATGCATTCTTTAAAGTAAAAAAGCTACTCAATTATAATATGAGTTTATTGTTATTATGAACCAGAAAAGTTTGCAGACATTTTTTGCTTTATTACTATTATGGTGGCTTGCAACAGGAAGGTAATAAGAAAACCTAGTCAACTCAAACCATATATCATATGCTGGATCTATTTTTAATTTTTTTGGTAAAGACAATTTTCAGAATTGCATTATATAAATTTTCTTTATTTTATGTTATTATTTACAATATATTCTGGTTATAGTGGTAAGATTCTAAATAAAGCTTATAATGACAGAGCTTATAACATCAATTATACCCAAAAACCAGCAAAGTCTAGATATGCAAACAAAAATAATACCATGTTATAACAAGATAAAGATGCAACAGTTCTATATAAACAATCATATAGACTTACAGAATTTGTGCTATTATACAAACTAGATAATTTTGTAAAACTAGTATATAATAAAGTAAATAACTTAAATTATTATTTTATGAATAATGAAAATTGTACAGTTATTATAGCAAAGAAATTAAAATCTGTCAGAATTCACAAATATAGTAAGTATATATTGTTTGTTATATATACTATTTATAATATACTAACTGTTCTAATTCTTTTTTTAAAATATCTAATTTCAGTATATTTTACAAATATTATTCATATAAAAACTTATAGGATATATGAAATATTTTCCTTTAAAATTCCTACCTCATACTCTGAAAGATGGAAGTTATTAAATATTGTTAGATTTGGTATTCTTTTAGAAGTACTATTTATTTTTTTTAATATCAAATATATGATTTGTTTATTAAAGTTTTACTTCTAATTATTATAGAAATTACTAACCAAAAAATGTAATATAAAAATAGAAATATCAATAGAAAATGCATTGAAAACTGATATTATCTGTTTTGTTTATAATTAAATAAAAATACTAAATAACACTTCTTCTAAAATTCAAACACAAACAAAAATACTGGACAATACTCTACCCATCTTTTGGCTTTATAAGAAGTCTGCAACACTTTTTAAAATTCAAACTTGGAAAATAATACTATACAATACCTCTTCAGTCATATCTTCTAAGACTCAAGTATCTGCAAAATCATTCAAGATTCCAAGACCTAAATTTCATAATTAAATTTTTTTTAATTATAATTTAAAGTAAAAGTAGAAAAAATATTTTTGCATATTTTTAGTAAATAACTAAAAGTATGGCAAAATTGTAATGCTTTTATATGATTTTATAAAGCATGTGAACATTTTATATAAATAAATTTTTTAATTACAAAAATTTATATATATATATTATAATAAAATTTCTGATTTGATTTTAAAGTGAGGTTTGAAAAATTTTTTTTTTAATATAACTAACCAATTGAATTTATTAATTTTTAAATCATAAACCAATAATATTGTTTTCATATAACAGATAATCTACAAAAATTAACTAATTAAAATAAAAATCTGCTATGCTATATAGCAGTATTGTTACTATGTAGCCTTAAGTTCAATAAAAATGATTAGCCCTAGCTCTCATGTCCCATTATACATATAGCTAATTGGACAATATCTTCATAATAAAATAATTTTAATTAGTAATAACTAGTTTTAACCAAAAATAGATTCATTATTACAATAAAACAAGTTTAAAACATTTATTTTGTTATAGACTTAATAAATCTTTAGCAAAATTACAGTAAAGAATTGCTTTTTAATTAATTATAGTAATTAAGCATTATTTCAGTAATTAGCTAATCATATTAGTTTCTAAGTTTAGCAATTATTAATTGGTCTTATTTATTTAAATATTTAATATAAGCAGTTCACATCTTACTTAACTTCTTATTCATATTAGTCTGCATAATTATTATCTGCTATGAACATTTTTAAATTATGCAGATTAGTAAGAAAGTTATAGTGAATTAATATGATATATTTTTAAAAGAGTATTTTACACTCTAAATTTTACATATCTTAAAATGTTATTAGATTTATTGCTGTTTAAATTATATGTCTTAGATATATCTAATATTGTTAATCTGAATTTTAAATTATATATATAACTATTTTGTATTGATGTTGTATATTCATGTGTTTCTAATTTAGTAATAGCAGTATCATGCAGCTATTATGAAAGGATATTCATCTAATTGGCTGATGCAAATCAATTTTCTGAGTAACTTATTTATACACTTTAAAGTACTTTTTAATTTTACTAATAAAAAATTCTGCAAAAACTATTTCTAACTTTGAAGTAATATCAGTATTCACTATGCAAAATAATCTTTAAAAGATCTTACTTCCTACTGACTTTGCTTAAAAGACAAAGTATACTTACTGTTTATTGGACTATATTGCAGTATTGTAGAATAAAAGTAACTAGCAATATTTTTATCTATTTTATTATATTAGTTTTAAATAAACTTTTACTTTTAACTACTTAATTTGAATAGTTACAAGCTCTTAGTAGTAGATCCAAACTTAATATTTAAATTTGGTTAGTTTTTGTAATGCATTTGGACTTGGCAATTATATATTAATAGTTGTAGTTTATATTATTGTATATAAATAAATCTTGTATATAGATTCTTAATAAGTTTGAGCTTATTAATATTTTTTTTTTTAAGTCAAAGTCTCTGTCTATAGGAGTTGATGTTTTTATTCATGTATTTGGACATGAGTGCCTCCAGAGGCTCCCTTACATTGAAGGTTACAACTAGCCACATGTGCACTTTTGGTGTCTAATTTAAGTAGTCTGCCTATATATTTAAACCCTCTGCATATGTAGTCTACTATGTCTCATGAAAACATCTTCAAGGC